GGCCGAACGCCCGAACCCGAACGCCCGAACGTATGGGACCCCTTGGGGATGCGTTTGGCCGTTCGGGCCGAACGCGGACCCAAAAAAAAAAAAAAAACGTTTTTTAAAAAAATCTGAAAAAAATATAGGTTATGGAGAAAAATAAATTAAACAAGATTTGCCTGAGCATTACATCGGAATTCATTACCAAATTTGAAATAAAAATAAAATACGAAAAACAAATACTAAAAATAAAAATAAATAAAAATAAAAAGAGAATTAAATTTAGTGAGTGTGCGAGCATGTTTTCGACACCGTCATCTTTGGCGATTTTTCATTTTTCTTTGGCATAGCTAAATGCCCTGAAAATTTACAGATGTGTACTTCACATAATGCAAAACCCACTAAAAAAGTTTCAAAAAATAATAAAATTGTTTAGACCCCGAACTAAAGTGAAAACAAAAAGTAAAAAGTGAAAAAATACGTGGGCGAGCACGTTTTGACACCGCCATCTTTGGCTATTTTTAGTTCTTATTTGGCTTAGCCAAATGACTTGAAAAGTTTCAGGCATGTACCTCACGTCATCGAGAAGTTACAATAAAAAAGTCAGAAACAAATAATTATTTTTAGGCCCCGAAATAAATTTTGGCGGGGGCCAAACGCCATCGGGTTCGGACCCCGTACGGGACCCCGAACGCCCGTACGTACGGAGGTCTGCCCGGGGTCCTCCGTACGTACGGGCTGGTGACCCTGTATATATATATAGATATATATGGGGATGTAGAGCTTTTCGTTCTCTGCACCTGCATATATATATATATATATATATTTTTGGTCTTTTTTATATTAAAAAAATAAAAATTAATTCATTGATTGATTGATTGATTGATTGATTGTTGATTGATTGAATGTTTGATTGATGGATTGATTGATTGACTGATTGATTCAAAAAAAAAAAAAATTCGCTGGACGGAGTCTTCCCCTGCAACCACACGTTGAGTACAAAATGTTGCAAGTTTGGGGTACCAAACGCCACAAATATTTGCTACTATAGGTCCCGTGTGAGTTTTTTTGGACCGTGTGAGTATTGTACATTTGGTGAGCCACGGTAATAAATTGAAAATATTTTCGAAAAACAAAACAAAAAAAAAGACCATGCTTTCTATTCGGGAATCGGGTAAAGCCTATCTGATCTGCAAGGTTGGCATTCCGCTGCACATGTTGGAAATTCGGATTTTTGGGTGCATTCCAGTTTCCCACAGGGCCACAGGTCTATTTCGTTCTTCAAACTCAGTCCTTTGCACCAACTCCTTTCCCCGTTCCCCTGCAAGGACTCTTTTCTGGGCTTTTCTGAGTTTTCTCTGCAACTCTTTTCTGGGCTTTTCTGAGTTTCCGCTGCTTTTGCGGCGGTCGTGTTTCGAATGTTTCTGAAGGTGCAGCTTTGTGGACGGCATGGTGGTTCCTCGCCCAGTTTCTCCGAGCTCGCTGATGTTGTGGCGTTCAATTCACAGCGAAGCTCTCTGCTGACCAAACTATGGCGAAGCTCGCTGCTTTCTCCTTGAGTCCTTCTGGACCCTCGGGAAAAATCTCTTTTTCCTCCTTTCTTCCCTCTGGACCGCACCTGGTTACAGAACTTACAGGCATGAATTCTTCATCTGACGCAGATAGGTACTCCCAGTTCGAGGAGTTATTCATGCCTGTAATTTATGTCACCGAGTACGTTCCAGAAGGAAGACAGAAGGAACTTGAGGCTTAGTTTGCAGAGGGACAAGTTCGGCATTGACGGTAAACGTTGTTGTCCCAGTAAGTTAGTAACCGAGTACGTTTGCCCCTGGACACCCAGGTCTCAAGGGGTTGAAGGCTTTCAAGAAAATGCAAAGCCCCCGACACTGCTGGAACAGGCATGAGGGTGGTTGTCTCAGGTCGAGGAGTTACTATTCGTGCAGGAGTTCGGCATTGAGGAGGTTCGACCTCCTTAGAGTCCACACTGCCGAGGAGGATTTTGGGAAAAGTTATAGATCCCACCCGTGACAAAATCATTATCTTTGGACTCTTTGTTCCCTCAAAGTGTGGGGGGCTTTGAAAGGCTTGACACCTGGTTGTCCAGGGGCAAACGAGTACAAAGGTTTTTTTGGCGGGGTAATCTATAGATTTTTTCCCGAGTAATTTCTGTGGGATAATCGGTAGAATGCGCCCACGCCAAAACCTTTTCGGTTTTGGCCGCCCAAAGTTTAGCCTTTTGGTACTACCGGCCCAATGACTTGCATGTGGGGTACTACAGGTCCACGCGTCCCTCTAAGGGTCCTACCGGATCATGAATCTGGCTCATAAGAGCGCCAGATTGATTTTGATGTAAAAGAGGCCCGGGGTGGTAACGCTGAAGTATCGAACGCGGCCCTCGTACGCGATTTTGAAAAAGAAGGGGCCTACCGGTTCATGAATCTGGTGCAGAAACAGTGCCAAATTCTGGAACCGGTAAAAACAGGCCCAGGGAGATGTGGGGCGCGAAGGCGCCTTTCCGCCAGGAGAAAGTTGTTTGGGCCGGTAGTACCAAACGGCCGAACTTTGGGCGGCCAAAACCGAAAAGGTTTTGGCGTGGGCTCTTTCTACCAATTATCCCAAGATGAGGCGCTAAGCGTGATACGAAACACTGGTTGGCAATCAGAGGAATCTGAGAGGATTAGAAAAACGATATACCACGGTTCGAGCACAGGCAACGCGCTAGTATCCTTCAAGGTGAAAAACATCGAAGGAAAAACGGGCAATCAGCGGATTAGTTCCAAGTCGATAAAGCAAGGGTGACCGTGCCGTGCTGTGCGTTGTACCACTCCTAACGAAACAGCCCACGGAAGAAAATATCAGAACCCGAAGCCCGATTCCTTACTCGCCAGGCTGTCCTTCGGGGCATCCGTTAAGATTGGAACGACACAGAGAAAGAAGATTAGCATATGGCCCCTGCGCTTTCAAGGATGACACGCATAAATCGAGAAATGGTCCTCACTCAGCAGGGCCGACGCAGTGATATACCCCTCCTAACAAAACGGCCCAAGTCTACCACACCGAGATATAGGCCTAATACCGGCCAACTTTTGTCCAGACCCGTCCTCCTTCGACCACCTCACGTACACAACACGAGTCTTCTTCGACACAGGGGTGGCCCAGCGTGTAAGCTTCGAACGAGGAAAGTCGTTAATGAACGCGGATGATCATCGTACTAAGCAAGCACAGTTATGGGGGGGGCAATTATGGGGGGGGGCAACCCTTCCTGCTAAACAGTATAGCACCCAAGAAAAAATAAAAATAAAAAAAATCGTAACCGACGTGGCGAGAAGTGGCGACAGATAGGACCCGAGCTTCGGCAGTTTTCGTGCCATCTGTGAACTAAGCCCTTCCCGCTCAATAATAAAAATGCATTTCACGCCTACTTTGGAAACAGATATGACCGGCGGCCCGGTGGCGGTCACAGACACAGGAGGAGCTTCGGCCGCATTGTGCATCGCTGCCAGATTGAGAGTGCTCCGTTGTTTATCATCTCTTCCAGTCCCCACCACAGTAGATAGATTCACAAAAAAGAAAAGAGCAAATACTGAAGGGGGCATACTTGCGCTACAACTTCAATGAATGTACATGACCCTATTTGTCATATTGACTCTCCACACGCTCTCCGACTCTCCGAGTGAAGTTGCTAGGATACCTTTACAAACTCGGAGCGAGTGTATAGAGTCAATTTGACAAAATTAATCGGGTATTTCTGCAATTTGCCCGCTGTCACTCTGTGAGTGCGTTCTTAAAAGTAATGGGAAACAGAACAAGCAGCAGCAGCAGCAGCAGAAGAAGAAGAAGAAGAAGAACGAACGAACGAACGGATGAATGAATGAACGATGAGCGAACAGACGAGCAAACAGATAAGAAGGGAAGAGAAAGCCGACGAGTAAGTAGGCAGAAGAGTAGAAAAACAAAGGAAGGAGAAGTTCGAGTCCCAGAAATGACAGACAATTCAAGACGGTTTGTCCTTCTTTTCTTTTTCTTCTGTATCGCCTTTTGTGTTAAGACAAACACAGGCACTAAGTGGGAATACTGCGAGAGAGAGTGAAAATCACATTACTTGCTTTAGCCCAGAGGCCAGGACAGTGTATGAAAAAGAGAACGAAAGCCGGTGAAACGCAAAGACAGAAAGTCGGAACAGACGTAAGCAAGCCATAGCTACCATACCGATCATTTAAACTTCTAAAAGAGGTGATCTGATGTATATCACCAGCGAATTATGACAATTTTTTCCAAATCGCTTTCATCGCGAACCATAATTGCCCGTTCAAAACGTGAGCTCTTTATTGTATCAGGGATTCTGAAGAATCCCTACCTCCGCCCCTTCCGAGTCCATCGCTGTCTCTCTGCTTCCCCTTCGGCGTCTATTGCCATCTCTTTCCCGCACCCCTTCCACCTCCTTCACGTCTCTCTCTCTCTCTCTCTCTCTCTCTCTCTCTCTCTCTCTCTCTCTCTCTCTCTCTCTCTCTCTCTCTCTCTCTCTCTCAGCCCCCGACATCCAGTCGATGGACCATAAATTAAATTTATATATTTCACCAAACAAGAAAAAACGACATCGAATAGAGGACAAAGTTCCGACAAATTATTGAAGCCAGGGACTTAAGGAAACGTGAGCACTTAAATATCCCTCTTCCGTTATTATCTTCCAAGGAAGAAACATGATAGCGTGTGGAAGATAACCATTCTCTCTGCCCCTCGTCATGCATGACGTATTTGTGTTCGTTTAAATGACTGAATGAATAATTGATTCTGAAATCGTTTCCTACGGCCAACAATTGAGCCCTACCTCGGGGAGTGCCCTGCGAAAGGCAACATGTATTATTCACTTTACACTGCTTTCAGTGTGAACAACTCGACAAATTCTCATTCCAGTACCAAGCGACTACTGCACGAGCAGAAGACTGAAGAGGCCAAAAAGGTCATCCGAAACAAAGCTCGGGTCTTTTGTCCTCAAATCACTCCACTCGCTGAGGAGACGAAAAGCTTCGTGCATTTCTAAAAAAAATTGCGCATGCATATATACCCTAAATCACTTGTACGAATATATATGTGCGCTTAATTTCTGGCCCATAGGTCGACCAGAAATGATGACCGAAAGTCTGAGGACCGTGGATTTCCTTAGAATAGCAGGTCCCACAGCTTTCTGCTCAACGATCTGTGCTGCGCAGGAGTTTGTGAGGAGGCCGGCTCCTCGTCTCCGGAGGGTTCCGCTGTGGACTCCAAGACCTGATCCGCCCCCGCTTCTTCGGAAGACGACTCCGACGCTGGGAGGGAAGCGCTGGAGGGGGCCGCGTTGGAGGACTCCGACATCTGCCCGCCGAGACACATGCGCGTGATGTTGTAGGCCACCACTTCCTCGACGATGACGGTGCTCTCGAGCGGAATGAGCGTCACCGTGGGGTCTGTGACTCTGGCTTCCTGGACTGTCACGCTTTCCACTCCCCCGTCGCTTGTGAGCTTGATCGAGCCATCCTGCTCCTCAGAGACGGCGATGCCCCTGCCCGCAACCGTCCACAGAGACCCGTCGGTGGTCAGATTGAGCAGCTGTTTCGTAGTGTTCACCTGCGGGAAACTGACATTGATGGGGACGACAACCTGAAGGTCCTCCAAGAAACTCCTGAGGATCGCCTGACCAGGCTCCTTTTGCAGACACGTGATGACGTCCTCGCCGAGCCCACTGATCAAGGATAAGTTCGTGGGAGCAAAAAGAATCAACTGCTTGCCTTCGAGCACTGTGCGACCCTGCACGTTCCAAATTTCCGTGGTGTTCACCAGAGCCTCGTAGAACATGGAAAACTCCGTCTCGTTCTTCAGAATCTGGAACACTTTCGAGTCCTTGCCTGTCTTTGCCGTCGCCGCAGTTGGGGCAGCCGAGCTAGGTGCACCCGCGATAGGGGCAGAGGGGGTAGGTGAACCAGCGCTAGGGGCAGGGGGGTTAGCGGCACTCACCGCCATGGACGCCTGAGGGCTGGCGTTCAAGAAGAAAGCGAACGCCACTATGAGGGCAACGTGCTTCATAGCCGTCTTCATCTTCGTCGTCTCTCTCAGTCCGACCTGCAGCCAAAGAAGGAGAAGACGCGGCGAGATACCCGCTGAAATGCAGGTCACGCAAAGCAATCATAAGGCATGATGACAACCCGATCAAAGAGTCAAATCAGCAGTGACTCAGCAAACCGTGAATCGGACCCGTCCATATGCACATTCGAGCGTGCGAACAATGGATGCTTGCAACGGTGACAATTTCCGGGAAAACTGCATGCCATGCGTCAGTCAACGACCGTCCCCTTCATGCACGTCATCACCTTCCCCCGAGGGTAGGTATATTATAGGGGTAACTTCGGCGCAGTCACGAAAACAGTTTATAATTGCACTTCAGGGAATCCCGCGAATACAAAACACCCCCACGCGACCCCACCGGACCCGAAACGTCAGTCATATACATTCAGCATTACGGGCCCTTTTGCCTCAAGTGCAATTACGAACTGAAACCCTGACTGCGCCGTAGTTTATCAGTGTCTTTGAGTCGTCGGATGGAAATCAGCTTGCAGAGATTGGGCCTTGGTCGACGACTCACCACATGCACAAACGACAAAAAATACGGCGGTGTATCTTCCAATGTTCTAGCGGGATATTCATTCCCCGCCATTAGATTGCATATACTAAATCCATTCACTGCCATGTACTGTCCGATAAGCGGGACTCGGATGGCACGACGGATGCCACGCATTAGATGCTCCCAATCCTACTCAACGTAATAAGCACTATCCAAAAGATGAATAAGACAAATCTCGACATAACTCGGGTGCTTTGTACCTGCGTTACTTCAAATAGAAGGTGTGATAAATTATTATATAAGCCGCATTCAAAAAATGCAACCCCGACGCCAGATACAGCTAAATTGGGCATGCGATCATACTCAGGGAAAGACGTTAGCTGTGATGTAAGTGAGGTTCTCCAAGGGGACGATGATGAGGTACGAGAGAGTAGAGAATGTGCGATCAACGTTCAGGCATACGAGGTGAAGTCCGCGTACTAAAAGGCATCATAACTTTCTCTCTCTCTCTCTCTCTCTCTCTCTCTCTCTCTCTCTCTCTCTCTCTCTCTCAAGAAAAACAAAAAGAAGAAGAAAAAGAACAAGGACGGGAAGGAGGAAGAAGGAGGTTAGCACGAACAAATTATGTAAATGCATCTGCGACATGACAGGCTAGGGTAGCACCCCTACATGCCTCGGCTGCCACCACGCAGCCATGACAAATATGTTATGCAGAAAAATAAACTGAGCAATTTTTGCCTCACGGTCACATCGAGAATCTTTACCAAATTTAAAGTCAAAAAATTAAAATAGAATACAAATTCATTACTGTGGCCATGTTGAAAAATACGCGGAATGATCCAGCGGGCTAGCTCAGTTGGTAAGGCACGCAAGTGGCATTCAGGAGGTCTTGGGTTCAATCCCCATTGGCCTCAGGTACCTTCCTGGGCATGCTTGGCGCCCGCCACCTAGAGATAGCCCGTTGGTCCCCCCAATTGGCATTAAAAAGCAGTCTCTGCTGATGTTCAGAGGGGGAGGGGTACTCAGGGAGGCACAGCGACTGGCCACTCAGATGATGCTCGGTCCCTCTGCTACCGGCTGTCCCCTGGCAGGTGCCCCCGAGTGGGGGATCCCTGAAGGCTATCAGGCCACCCTAAGGCTATCAGGCCACCCTGGGCTGAAAAGGCCACCCGATGTTAGATTAGACACAAGATTGAATTTACCTGGGCTGGTTAGTCCGATGATAATACCTCAAGGCCATCGCCCTTTTAAAATTAAAAAAAAAAAATATACGCGGAATGCAGACCAACCCCCCCCCCGGGTAGTGGGACTTAGCTCTTGATCGCTGTCTGTGACCAGTGCACACACTCCTCAGTCGTCTCGTCGGTAGAACACAGTTCCACCACACCCGGAAGTAGTGCATACACTTGGTAGAGCGCAACTCCCACTTGGTGCATCAGCCCGCTACTCAACAGTCGACACGTATCTAGACTGAGCGGCAGACCAGATACTTTTGGACTGATCAAATATTCTGAATGTATCAGGGGTACTGTTAACTCCAGATATATTTAGCATGTTATGCAGTGGAGCAAGGCTCAGCCTTCCGTACTGACGTGCAGTGGAGCAAGGCCCTTTGATTTCCAAAGTCTGTCGATAAACGATCAAGTCGGCAAATTGATTTCCCGCCCTTTGATTTGCGTGAATCCACTACTTTCCTAAGAAGAGGAAAAGCTAAATTAAATATTATGCCCTCAAGCTTTTCACAAAGGAAGTTTCCATGAAAAATTTCGTCATCAGACAGACCAATCAGAGGAGCGGATTCATGACTGCTAACTCGATAAAAGGCGGGAAATTGAAACGAAGATTTATCGTCAATGTGTTAAATAAACCCAGCAAAGGGGGAAAATGAAAAAAAGAAACACCTTTCACGGCCTTTTAGACAAGATCGAGTGTAGCAGCTGTTCTGAGCAGTTTAATATCTGGTCCGTGCTCCATCGGTCCAAAATTATTATTGAAAAAAAAAAAAAATGAAATTTGAAGCGAGGATTTATCGTCAATCAGCAAAACAAACCCGATCGGATTTTATATCGTTCCACCTCCTCTAGGTCAGATGATCATCTGTCTGCGCAGCAATTAAGTCGGTGAAACTCCGACGAAAATCTATCCCAGCCCCTCGTTTATTGCGCTCTTCTCCTTCTCTGCCAATGACCGGTGAACCATAGGCAGAAAGGGAGAGGAGGACAAATACCGAGGAGCTGTGTCAGACTCTTTCGTCGGACTGTCGCCAACTCATCTGGAGGCTGAACCCTATAAACATATATATATATATATATGTTTATACACATATAGAAATATCCCGTCGGTCACAACCCCTCGTTTCTTGTCCTCTTCTCCCTCCTTGCCTGCAGATCACCCGGCAGTTCTTCATGACGATGTATATATATATATATATATATATATATATATATATATATATATATATATATCGTCCTAGAGAACTGCCCGGTAAGCCGAAGGAAGTAAGGAACAAGAGGACATCATACGAGGGACTGTGACAGGCTCGTCCGTCGGAGTTTCAACCACTCCTCAGGACTGAGGAGTCGTCGTCCAAATGCACGTCGAGTGTTGTGAAGTGGAGCGAGGTTCAAGAATCCAATACATGACGGGCAAACACAAAAAGAAAAAGACAAAGAAACAACAAACACACACACAACAAGACTCGTGCTAAGGCAAAAAAGGATTCTCGCGCAAAACACACTCGAACCTTCTCAACTGATATCGATCGAAAATGCAGTTCGATTCATCCACTCAGACTGAGTACGCTCTACGCTGACCTATCGGTGTCAGGCAAGTCAGACTCGAATATCTCGGGCGGGAGAGAAGCGAGATACAATCAGAAAAAAAAAAAACGAAAAAAAAACGTATTTGATCTTGACCTCACAGCCCCAGTCATCCTTAACGCTGTTATGTAGAGAGAGGTTTAGAAAACAAAGGCGCCTCCACTTTCCCGCCATAAATCTCCCTCGTTGACTTATTGCAGCCATGCAAGTCATACGCGAGTTTTCGCTGGGAAAGAACAGAAACGTAATCAGCAAAAAAACGAAAAAGAAACGTATTTGTTCTTCATCTCACAGCCCCTGTCATCCTTAACGTCGTTACTGCTACGAAGTAGGAAGATTCCTGGAAGAATCGGCGCCACAAAAAGACCGCCGAAGTATTATGCGAGCGAAGCTAATAAAATCGATCCCCCAAAAGCAGAGAGAGCATGTTCGAGGAAAAGACGATTGTTCTACGTGGATCAATGGCGTAATGATGTTGTCGCAGGGCCTCGATTCACTACTCGCCACATGATCAAAAGTCAATGGCGGTGTATCTTTCTATGTTCTAGCGAAAGATTCATTCTAAATTTGAGCATTTGCCGTAAATATACGTCGCGCACTTGCCACACAGTCGGCGGACACTTGACACACACTTGGCAAAGAATTGGCGCGCTCTTGCCACCGACTTCGCGCGCACTTGGCACACACACTTGGCAAGCCCTTGGCGAGCGCTTGGCACACCCACTTGGCAAGCACTTGGAACACACACTTGACAATGACTTGGAACACACACTTGGCAAACACTTGGCACACACTTCTTGAACGCCATGTACGTGACAGGTTCGTTGAACTTCGTTCTGTATATATATATATATATATATATATATATATATATATATATATATATATATATAACTGTAGATATACATCGTCATATATACACTTGTACAACACCATCACAAACAACTAACCCGTGAACCATAGCCATTAAGGGAGCAAAACAAGAGAGAGAGAGAGACAGACAGGAGAACTGTGTGCGTGTGCGTGTGCGTGTGCGTGTGCGTGTGTGTGTGTGTGTGAGAGAGAGAGAGACAGAGAGACAGAGAGAGAGAGAGAGAGAGAGAGAGAGAGAGAGAGAGAGAGAGAGAGAGAGAGAGAGAGAGAGAGAGAGAGAGAGAGAGATTAACAAATGCGAACTGGACGGAATGGTATATGCAGTTTCGACCATGTACCTGTCGTCGGCAATTGCAAATTGGCGATCCGACGGTTCTTTTTCAGGCTTCAAATCCGATCTGAGTCGTCACCTTAGTAGCCAATGCGTGCAACCTCCCACCTCCTCGCCCTATAAAACTCAGCACCGATCACTAGCTGGGCGACGAAGTTGGTTGCGCTCTTCCGCTGCTACTCTTCGAGTATTTGTATACATGAACCAGTGGAGAGCAGGCCCGCATCAAACGAGAGGAGACTCCTTGGGACTGCACTCACGTGCGCCGCACGGTGCAAACCTTGCGAGGCCCGACGGGCCCGCCTTTTATACAGCACTCTACATGCATTTAGACGCTTTCTCGACCCGCACATTCCAAATGTTGGACTCGTTCGCATGCAGCTGGTCCAGAAAGCGGCAAAATTCCATGTACAGTGCTTTGTCGTGCAGCGATGCCCTAACTGACTGTCGAGATCTCGCCTGTCTACAAAACAGTAGAACAGCACCAACCTCTCCACACTGCGGGGGATCGCTGACTCCCTCCCTACTGCTTGCTTTTTTTTTTTTTTTTTTGAAACAACGGGCGACGGCCTTGAGATATCATCATTGAAATTACCGGACCCAGGCAATTCAGAATGATTTTATTCTCTACATCTGACGGCATCTGGATTTTAACTTGAGTCTGTACTTCACCAGTTCAGGGGTGTACCAACTGAGAGTTAGGCCTGTCGGTCTGCTTCTTGCTTTTCCTTGCTTCCCGCGCAACAAAGGGAAAAGAAATCCCTTCCTTCCCGCGTAACAAAGGGAAAATAAATCCCTTCCTTCCCGCGCAACAAAGGGAAAAGAAAAACAGTAAGGAAATAGCGCCATTGCAAAACCCCTACTGCTTTCTTTCCCTTTCTTCCCGCGCAACAAAGAAAAAAAGAAATAGAACTCTTGCTAAAGGCCATCCTGTCCGCATTCGTTGACCCTTGGATTGGTTGGGCTTACAAGAATTAGTCTTTCTAAAATAAAAAGAAAAACAATGAAAATAAAACAGTAGCGCGGGTTGACCTATTTCAGTTCCACCACTCTCCATCCACTAAGATTTCAATGCATCTGGATGCATCTGGACACTTTTACGTCGAGATGCATTTGAAATCTTGGCGGATGGCGAGAGTTGGAAGAAAAGGCATCAACCATCACAACAGAGGAATCCCGCCACAAACAGATCGGAGGACTGTGACCATTACCCAGCTTCGGCGAAAAGGGACAAAACCAAAAAAAAAGAAGAAAACAAAAAGAAAAAAAAAGAAAAGGGACAAAACCTGTGGCGAAGGTATCTGCCGGCATTCCATCGGAGGACTGTGACCACCTCCCGCTAGAACGCGGACATCCGCCAGACCTTCTTTTCGTCTTTTTCAAATCTGGTGACGGGCGCGGCGACGCAAGTTGACCTCATCTGAAGAAATCACTGATGGATACAGGAAACAGAAACAGAAAAGGCTGGAAAAAAAAAAAAAAAAAAAGAAGGAAACAGAACCACAAAAGGCTGAATGTACCCACGTCGTCCAGCGCGGCTGCCAATCACTAATGGAAGCTGTCCCTGTCCTGTTCTAAAAGACTAAACTTGCGGTTCTCCTTCCTGCAGGAGTGAGGACAAGGACTCAGAAAACCCCGCAGTAGGTCACAACGAGAGGGGTAGGGAGGGAGGGGAGGGTCCAGAAGTAGGAGGATTTATTCCACCCGGTCGCTTTAGCCCGGGTTTGGTCCGGGCCATATAGGCCTGTGTATAGGGGTAGATGTGAAGAGTAGGTAGAGTCGAGAGAGGTATAGAAACTAGGCTAGAGTAGTGGTTCAGAGGTAGGGCACCAAGATATCAGGCATGTGATGTTGAATACCTTCCAGAACGGTACACAGTTGATAAAAGAGGAAACTTTGTAGGATGACTATAGTGAGAGAATTGAGTAGACTAATACTCTTCTCTAAGCTAAACCGGCTGACGCTGCCGGGATAACTCCGGGTTGATTTGTGAGGTCCCCGGCCTCCTCCAATGCTGTTTTGCAACAAAACCTTTTCTATAAAAAAAAAAAGAAAAAAAAAAAGAAAGCCCCGGCGGGAGGATCCTTGAGATCGGTAGCCTCCCTCCCAAGGGGTCTGAAACCGCTGGTAAGTGCTTCAGTCCTTGATTACGGTAGCCTCCCTCCAAGTGGGTCTGAAACCCTCCCAGTGGGTCTGAAACCGCTGGTACGTGGTTCAGCCCTCGGTAGCCTCCCTCCCAGTGGGTCTGAAACCTCTGGTAAGTGCTTCAGTCCTTGATTACTGTAGCCTCCCTCCCAGTGGGTCTGAAACCGCTGGTAAGTGCTTCAGTTGGATGGGGGCATACTCAAGAAAGAGAAAACTGGCCAGCGGGCATAGCTGAGTTGGTAAGGCACAGAAGTTGGATTCAGGAGGTCGTGGGTTCAATCCCTATTGGGCTCACCAACATGCCTGGGCAAGCTTGGTGTTCTACCAGCTAGAGATAACCCATTGGCCACCCAAGCCAGGATTGGCAGGACCTTGGCTGATGTTGTTGGCTGCTATGCAGCAACAATAGTGGCCATTTGACACCACCATGTGGGGTTGGGGGGGTGTTGGGGGAGGTGCAGTGACTGGCCATTGCTCGGCTCTAGCACCGCCGATTTCCCCAATTGGCAATGCCTGTGACGCTCAACCTCACGCCCTGCGATCGGTGTGTTTTGGTTCACGGAAGGGCCCCGAGAAGGCAGCGAAGATGGGGTGTGCCAAGGATTTTTGGAAATTTAATGTGAGGACACATACAGAACTTAAATCCCCGCATTGGTCCGACCTTAGTAAGAAGAGGTATGTTGCCGTGCGGGTTCAAGGAAAAATAAGCCACGCGTGGGACTCGCGCCTATGGGAAATTCAATCTAAAAAGTATCGCTGAACTTCCCAGCAAGCCGTCACTCTTCGTTTCGCGTGAAAAGGGGTGGGTACACACGTGGTATCCTGCTTTCGGATGAGGTCTCGTCGGCGCTCGGTACACAACTCTGAATCCGACGTGGAGGGCTTCAATCGAGCAGCCCTCTCCTTGTGCTCATCCTCGCCACGTGTGCGGTAGTGAAAACCCTTGGCTCGGTAACGCTCGAAGCGGCAACCAACACTGCACAGAGTGTTCGGCCAGTGAGGCTCCACTGCCGTCCACGGGACGGCGATCAATTCGTTAAATGGCAATAACAACGAATAGGGTGGAAAGTGAGTATCAACAATAACAAAACCTGCACTAACAAATCCCGAACACCGAGTTTCGGGAGGGAAGTAGTAGCGCCCGCCGATCTTACCGACCGCTTCCCGTACGTCCCACTCGCATACACGTATCCTTTCCTCGTTGTACGGGAAGGGGCGCGACGGACGTATGGGAAGTTGGCGCCCAGTCGGGTTGGGGCCGTCAGTCCACATGGCAACAAGGCAAAACCCCTTCTTAACCATACATCATCCGTTCGACACTTTGAGCAGCCAGATCATCCATTCGATCACCCAATCATCATCTCAACCATCTTCCAGCAAGCTTTTCAACACGACTCACTGCATGCACACATCGAGGTGAGAGAGGTAAAGCTACTGCAATCCATCCATTACATCAAACATGACAGGGAGAGAGGACGGGGGAGAAAAGACGCGGATCAGAGAGGAGGAAAGAGTAGAGAGCGATCAAAGGAATGTTGACGATCCTGTCAAAAGAAATTCCGGCTAAGAAACTGAATGATTAGAACTCACGCTCGAAGGACAAAAATAAGAGGCGCTTCCGCCATTAGATTCCACCATGGCCCCAAGGCATGCATTCAATCAACTCTCAATTTGACCCTCTCGTAAGCACTGACGAATCCCGGGCGTCACGTGCTAATCCAACGTAGCGATCGTAGCCTCGCCAACTTAGTCTCTGCACAGTCTGGCCCGGATCCCACAACCAAGCGGGCGATCCAACGCACAACCGACAAGGCTGAAGTCAGCCCGTCAGGATTCTTCGACTCGCTCTTCACACACACCCTCTAGCCACTGCTTCCCGGAAGATGGCAGACGAGTTGAGAGAGAGATTTTCGAGAGCGCCTGCGGAATTTATAGCTGCGAAAAAGGAGTTTGACGCGTGGAAGGGTTAGGACTGAGGTAGGGAGGGGTAGGGGGAAACTTGGGGATAATCGCCCGTCGAAAGCCATGTCGATCCCTTGGATCTTAGTCGTGGCCACTCAGAACCGTTGTGTATCAGGATTTTCCTTCTTACACGGCGCGTCTACTTGGCTAGAAGGAGTCGACAGAGTATTTCGGTGCGGGGATTAGAGCGGGAAGAAGGAGAGCGTGAGGGATAGCGTGGAACCAAACCAACATTCAGATGATCAAGAAAGAGAAAGGTGCACGAGGTAAAGGAGAGATGGAAAAGGATTGCAGAGGAAAGAAGGAGTGGGAGCGCAAAGAATAGTCTAAGAGTAATGAAGGTAGCGAGGGGAGCAGGGAGGGAGGGGAGGCTCGCATGCATGGCGCTGACGCAAGGGCAAAAAGGGCATCGAAAAAGTTACAGCTAATTCAAAATTGACAAGTACCATATCCGCACGTCTACGAATCCCCTCTGGCGGCGGTCAAGCGCGGCGAAGTCCACGTTCGCGGCCAGGTCCGCGACCCCACGGACGTGTCCGCGTGGTCCGGCAAGTTCGCGGACTTATGGCGGCCGCTAGGGAGGGGCACAACGAATTTGAGTGGTGGCATGAAGCGGCGCATCCCCAGCCCCAACCCCTCAAGCAAAAAAAAACAAAAAACAAACATTTTTTTTTAGGAGGGGGGTTGGCAGCGAGTGAAGGAAAAAAAAAAAAAAAAAAAAAAAAAAAAAAAAAAAAAAAAAAAAAAAAAAAAAAAAACGGCGTTTTTTGTTTTTTCCGTTGATTGATTGATTGATTGGTGGGGGCGGGTCACCCCCCCACCCCCCACACGAGTGCGCACACACACGCACACACACACACACACACACACACACACGTAGTACTATATATTTCCATGTTCTAGTGAAAGATTCATTCGATTTTGCCTTTTCTTTTTTTTATTGATTGA